AATGACAAAAAATCCCCACCCACAAGCCTTGTGCTCTCTAGGGAATTTTTTAAAATTTCTGCAGAAATTTGTTTTTCCATTTGGTTGTGTGTTTCTGTGAGAAGGTTTCCTGGGGAAGGAGGAGAAGCCGTGGTGTGCCAGGCAGCACAGCTGTGCCATGCACTGAGCTGCCTTGGAACAATGGTGCCAGCACGGGTACAGCATGAACTGCCCCCTCTGTGTCTCATTAACCTCACGGGGGAAGTTTGTTTTATCAAAGCTGCTTTTGGAGCCATTCAGCCTCACAAAGCCAGGCAGCTTTTCCACCAACACAGGGGGGAAGGCCTTTTAAAAAGCAAAACCTCTGCAATGAGCTCTTTCTTCTAAACCACCATTTCCCACCTGTAACGGGGCTTTGTGCCCCTTCCTCTGCCCAGGACCCAGCAAGGATCTGCCACACAAGGTCACACACCTGAGCAAAAGCCCTGAGCACCTCTCCTGGAAATTAATAGGCACAAATGTACTGCTTTTGCTTTGCTAATTAGAGATTTTTTTTGGTTGATATACTAATGATTGTGGTGGGTTTAGTGTTGGCACTTACTGGAATGTATTTACTTATTTTTTGTTGTGGTATAGGATTAGGAGAAAGGTTTAAAACTTTAAAAGGGAATAAAGAAAAATTTATTAACAGTAACTAAAAGAGAGAGTAATAAGAATTAGAATAAAACTTTTAGGATACTTCTCTTTTTCTTACAATTTTTTCTTTCTTAATAATGTAAGGCAACAAAACTTGAAATTTTAGTTAGTTTACTACTTTTAGAATAGTCACACTTCTGGCCTGGAGCTACAGCATGGTGTCTTCTAGAAGGGAAGCCAGGCATTGCAATATCTTAAATTGCACCTTCCAAAGGGATCCTGTGTGTTTTATCCTGTGATTTTAGCCTGCAGTGATTTAAGAAATGTATGCCCTTGATTCCCTGGACAAAGCAGGAGAGGGGCAATTACCAGGTAATTTTCTACATTCTCTGAGAAAGTCCTAAACAAAGAAAGTTCAAAATCCCAAGCATCATAACTGGGAACATTTCATGCCTTGTTAAGAAAGGAAAAGACTAACAACAATTCCGTGTAGAAAAAAAAAAATAAAAAAAGAAAAAAAAGAAAAAAGAGAAAGCAGCAGTATCCAGCCAAGAAGCTGTTGCTGGATATATCCAGTTTGTGTCACATGATCAGACTTGCATAAACTAAAAAGTGATTTGGCTTCTTTGCATGGCAGATCCCACCCCAGGTATTCCCAGGGTGTTCCTCCCCACAGCCACAGGCTCAGGCAGCTTTTGGTGCCACGGTTTGCTTGGATGAGAAAAGTCTGCAGGGAAGAGGCAGCTGCCAAAACTCCACCTGAGACAGAAAGGCTACAAACAGCCCACTGTTCACCACAGGTGGAATTACAGGAAAAGGAAGTAAACTTAGGCTTCCAGTAAAACTTACCCAAAAATTGTTAATGTTAATTTAATAGGTTTGTATCACAAACACAAGAAGTAAACTTAGACTTCCAGTTATACCTACCCAAAAAATTGTTAATGTTAATTTAATAGGTTTGTATCACAAACACAAAGCCAGCATCATGTCACCATCAGAGATGACCTCAACCAAATTACAGTGCAAGGATGCAGCTTTGGTCATCACACCTCCCTTCTGTCCCCTAATTAAAATCAGCTTGTCAGGTGGCATATTTGCCTCCCAAATGTGCAATTTTCTCTCAAGAAAGAAAACCAAAACAACATGATCATAGCTTGGGCAACATGCATAATCAGAAATGTTTATCACGTGCATCTGGAATAGGTTTCAATTCTTTAAAGCTGGAAGTTGCAGGGAGACAATGATGTTTATACCAGACACAGGATTTTTTTTTAGGATACAGATAAGACTGTAAAATAATGAGAGACTTGGCAATTAATTAGCTGGTGAAATTAAAATACAGAGAAAATAGTGAAAATAAACAAAAAAAAAAAAAAAACCCACGTAGCCTACTCATGCACCTCTGTGCATTTTACAAAGCATTGGCATTCTTCAGTGAGACTGAAGATTTCAAAAAAAACCCACATAGCCTACTCATGCACAGAGATGTGCATTTTACAAAGCATTGGCATTCTTCAGTGAGACTGAAGATTTGTTATTTCTCTGAAAATGATGGCTCAACAGCTGGCCACAGTCAAAAAAACCCCAATGGAACATCAAGGATCATTACCAAAGACCTTGAGTACAAAATGTTAGATAAATGCATGTCCAAAATGCTAGGTAAACACTTGTGTGCATGGTTTGTGCATCACTGCCTTTAAAATACCTCCAGGTTCATCACACTGCCTGAAAAACTTCAAGTGTTTGTTCCTTGGTGTTTGATAGCACCCATATCCAGGCACCAACACCCAGCCTTCCACCTGGGAGGCTCAAGGATCAAAATTCAGCTCTTGGGCACTCTTTGCTGGGTTGAACCTTCAGTGGCAGAGTGGCTGGTTGTGAAATCCACCTGCTGGGCCCTCAGGCACTCAGAAAATAATCCCACCACCCATTTTTATGATGCAATATTGGGCTTTATCAGCTCAGACATTCATGGGCTTTGTAAACCTTACACCTCTGTTACTCCAGTGCCAAGGCTCCCATTTGTGGCTTGTGCTGACACGGGTCTTGGTGCTTGAAACATCACAAACACTGAAGCACAATGAAAGCCCTCTGAGTGCCTTCTGTACCCCAAAACTCTGTTCAAATGGGGGTCACAAAAGTGTCAGCTTGGGCTTCACTCTTGCAATGTCCAGTGTCATCTATTTAAACAATAAAAATCAATAAGGCCACTCATTTTTAGCACATTTTTTAATGGTTTGCTGAATTGAGGTCAGCATGCTAGAACTTGAAGGAATCCAGTCCAAAGCTTGGCTTTGCATTTGAAGGACTAGCTTTCAGAGGAATTTCCAAGCTCCCAGCCCAGTCCCAGGAATGTCTGTGGTAGCAGGATTTCTGAGGCTCACCTTGGCACAACCAGCACTCCCTGTTTCCTGGCTTTGCCCTGCACAAGCAATGCTCCCACCACAGGTTTATGCCCAGAAGCTTCTCTGAGGAGGCATCCCCCAGCCAGCACTGCCCACCTGGACACACAGCCTGGCTCTTTCTCACTGCTACATTCTCAGGCAGGTGAAGCAGACCAATTAAACACAACGTTAATACATCCACTGAAATGCTAATTTTGAGAATTGGAGGCGTTCCTGCAGAAATGCTAATTTTAAAACTTGGAAAGGTTCCTATCTGCTTCCTCCCACTCCGAAACACAGGGATTTAACTAGGTCTGACCCTTTGGCAGTGCTCCATGTAAGTGGCACAGATTTGCCTGCTTAACAAAGCCCTTTTGTTTCTCACAGCTGTGAAATTCTGCTGCCCTGTAACTTTTCATGTTTCCCAGGTTACCTTGGCACCAAGCTGTGACTAAACGTCTGCAAAGGGTTTTTAACTCCAGCTTTGGAGGAATATGACCACAAGGAAGAAAGGTGGCTCCCAGTGAGTGCCCCAGCAAGAACAATGCTCAAGAACAGCTTCAAATGTCCACAAAACTTCTGGGATATCTGTGGTTTAACAGATATCTCTGTTCTGTTCCTGGCTGCATCATATTTGTATTTATTCCATTCCCCTTCCTCATGTTCAGCCCCATCATCCAATACAAAGGGAGACAGGGGCTAGGACAGATCTTTTGAAAAGAGTCAGCTTTAAGGATCACTTGCATTTGAAGAAACTTTAAATTTCAGAGCTGATTTCCTGCTCTGGGGGAGGAAATGGATCTTTCCTCACTGACTCCACAAGGACAGGAAGCAATTCCAAGGACACACATATATGATGTCAACAAGACAACCTTAAAGTATTACTTACAATCTGAATTAATCAGATTGTAACTGAGCTAATGAACTACTGTGGCAAAACATCCTTCCCACTGTTGTGGTTTAAATGGGAGCAGATCTCTGCCATGTAGAATAAACTAGTAGGAAATATTTGCAGGTGCTGGAGCATTGGTCTGTGGTAGTTCCACAAACTCCCTCCATGCCTTATGCAGTAGGATAACCTGTAATAAAATAAATAGAATAAAATAACCAGGACCTGTAATAAAATAAATAAAATAAAACAACGAGGACTTATAATAAAAAGCCTCAGGAAGTTATTGCAGGGGCACTGGCAGACAGACCTAAGGGTGCTCTGCACTGGGCCAAACATGAGGCAGTGCCAAATTAGATGCTAAACATGGATGCATTAAAACCTTGTATAACTCATATCAGCAGGGTTTTCTTTAATTTTTGTTACCTGAGACATTTAAGGTTTTATTTCCCTAGATATTTAACACATCCCAGGGCAGCAGTTAGCTGCTGATGACCTTTGCTTGTTTGCTCTATTCAAATCTTAAAACATCACCATAACACAGCAATTTTTTAAAAATGTAATTTTTTAAATTTATTGTTATTACCACAACACCCAGACCATGTCATAAACCAGGTTTCCAATATATTGACCACCTATCCTATGCAGAATAACAAATAATCCCTTTCTGAAAGGACTAATAATATCATAAAATAAATTTATGGAAAACTGAGGCCCAAAGAAGCCACAAATGCTGTCTACAGTTTATGACACTCTGGCAGAAACCATGTGAGAATCCCTAGATGAAATCTGGAATCACTTGGAGTCGAATGCAAAATTCTCTATTTTCAGTGAAACAGGACAGAATAAACAGAGCCCTTTGCTCAGACAGCTCAGACCTGGCATTTCATGTTTTCTCATTTCTAGTCCTTGTCCTTTTGCACCAAACATATTTTTCCCGTGCCTTATGTTTATAAACTGATACTTTTACAATGTAAGTAGGATACAACTATGTGTAATTCTATTCATCTCTGTCCAAGTGTTCATTACTTAAAGCAAAACGAATCTCACAAGGATATATCCAATATTTACACTGCAATGATTTTTTTCCCAACATGTCCTTCTGTGAAATGCTATTTCACTGCTTCTTGTGCTTTATCCTGCATTTCTATTGGTTCATTTAATAAGACTGGCTTTTCAGATTTCAGTTTCTTCTTTAAAATGAGGAGAACAAGTGTGCTTGGGATGTAGGACACTCCACGTAACACTGCTGGCAGGCCAAGGTAGTGCCACCTGAAATAAATAATGAGCTCCATTAAATATATGCATTTGTAAAAAAAGGGTAAAACTATTCAGCATTGTTTTGTGAAGGTTACACAGCCACTCTAAAGCTTGTGCCTTGATGCTTTTGGGTCTTACAGAAGATGAGAATGTGAGAACAGAGAATATGAAAAGGTAAAATGGCCTTTTACATCTCCCAGTTTCAGGCAGATGATTTGGTCAGTGAAGTCAGGCACCTGGGACTCCTATGGCTTTATCCATAGGGAAAAGAGAGAGTCCTGAAAGGGCTCACACAACCTGGTTAAAATTTGTAAGTATTCATAAGAATATTATTCAGACCAACCTCAACAAAGTATTACAAAGAATTAGTATGAGGTCACAAGTTCAACAAGATTTTTCTTTTAAAACGGCACATTGATCCTTGAAGGACTACAAAAACATGAAGTGCAGTATTCTGGGCCAATTTCCAACTTAAGTAACTGTATCTTCTCCATAAAATTCTTCTTTTTTAATTTCAAGTACTGTTCCAACCATTTCCTGTTCAAAGATATTGCAGTCACCCATTGAACCTTTTTCCCATGTATGCTAACTGCTTTTCAGTATTTTTATCACAATTCAGGGTTTTCAGAGCTTGTTCTCATGAGAGGTTATTAGTGAATATTATGGCACCAGAACATTGCTGTTCAAAGGTTTTCCCAATGTCTGTGTCAAAGGTTGCACTTTGCAAATAAAGCCAATGCCAAAGAAAATTGTATCATATCTCTAACACAGGAGCAGTTTGTCTGCTAGGGAGACAAAGTGCATAAAATTACATCTCTATGCATGCAATAACAGAGTGAGAAGGAGAAATTAAACTAAAGCAGAAAACATACCTGTACGTGACAACATCATACATCCTACATGCTCCTTCCCCACCACAAGTCATAGTACCCCACTTCAAGCAAGTGGTGTCTATCAGGGCTCCAAAATAAATGGGAGATGGAATTCCAGCTAAAAAGAACATGAGCAAAGCTTTTGTGAAGGGCAATTTCTTTCTGGTTATCAGACCCAGCACAGAGCCTGTGCTGTTTGTCACCTGCTCCCTCTGTACTGTCCTCTTGCAGCAGGAGCCTCGTTCTCTGTTTATCTTGTGCTCCTTCTCCTTCCTTACCCACCTACCCTCAAAAAAATCTGCAAAGATTTTCCTCCCTGCTGCCTGTTAAACAACACCCACGTGCAGCATCAAGGACTGTGTTTCCTCCTCAGAACTCAAGGTTTTCTCTCATCAGTGAGAGGCAATGCTGCCCTCAATAAACATAAACAACAAGCAAGAGTGAAGGAATGCAAAATGGCTTTCCAAGAGCAGCAGATGTAGTCCTGTGTCCTGGTTTTTTCAGTCCAGTTAATTTTGTTCTCAGCAGCTGGTACAGTGCTGTGGTTTGGATTTAATATCAGAATAATGTTGATTTAGTTGCTGCTAAGGAGTGCAGACATCAAGGAGCTCTCTGTGTCTCATGCTCTGCTTGTGAGGAGCTGCACAGGAAAGCAGGGCTGAGCATGGCCAGGACAGCTGCCACAAAGTGGGCAAAGGGAAATTCCACCACCTGCAGTGTCATGCTTAGCACACTGAGTGGAGAGAAGTGGCAGGGATGCACCAACAGCTGCTGGGGAGTGGGATGGATGTTGGTCAACAGATCACAAACAATTTTATTCTGCATCACTTTTCTTTCTTTTGTTTTATTCACCTCTCTAGTTTTCCTATTGTTATTATATTTTACTTTCTTTCATTGCTAAACTATCCTTTACTTAAGCTGCATGCTCTGCTTTCCCAGCTCTCCTCCCTATTCCATGTGGGAGGAGAATAAGTGGATGCGTAGCACTTAGATCCTGACTGGGGTTAAACCAAGATACCAGCCAAGATACCCAGTATAAAAAAAATGCAAACTGCAAGCAGTTCTACTTTGCCATGCTCTGAGAGCTGTAAAAAAAATCCTAAATGCTTCCTGACCAAAGGCACTCCATAGAAGCAAGGACTCCTGTGCCATGCCCACAGCCCTGATGGGATCCTTCTCTAGGGTCTGTTCTTCTGAAGTGTGTAAGATATTTTCTTACCAAATACTCTTGAAGCCAGCCCATGGATACCCACTCCAAATGACTTCTCTTCAGGCTTTAGAGACCTGTAATGACAATGTAATGACTGTAATGATAATTGCATTGTAAACTTATTCGTAGAGGTGACATCAATAACAGATGTTTAACCCTTTTTGAAATCAAGTTCTTCATCACATTAGGCCCAAACCATTCTAATAATGATCTCATTGTGCTTATTAGGGGTTGTTTGTTGAAAAGTTCCTTACCTAGGACTGCCAAATCACAAAAGGAAAAGCTGCTGTCAGGGTAAGGTACTGAGGCCAACACAAAGTGCAGGGTAGTTGTGCCTTAATCAACATCCTGTGGTTGATAAACTCTCAGGTATCACACACCACCCAATATCCCAGAGCCCAGACTCCTGCATTCATCCAGAACAAAGCTGACAGCCAGAAGCTACATCAGAATACAAAGGTGACATGACACTAAACCTTAACAGCACAGAAATGGCATCAGATTCTTCTGCTCTTCCTCCTTCCAAGTGCAAACTAAACACCTTTTAATTCCCTGGAGAATTAAAACCTAAGAATAAAAACTCTGGTAGATTTCTTAAGACAAGGAAATTTTGCTGTACCTTATTAAGACCATGTATCCAGGCATGGCTGCTAAGGAAAAAATGAAGCTGCAGACTAATGTCAAGATTAAAAAATAATGGAGCATCTTGTCACAGCTTTCGTGTCCATCACACTGGCCCAGAGTTGCAGAGATGTTTTGAGATGAAAACCCTGAGGCTGCAACACAGGTGCAGTTTTCAAATACCTATCAAAAGAGTATTTTAATCACACAGATTGCCCAGACTCCCACTCCGAGTGGCAAACCCATCTCATTGTGTCCTGCACTCAAGCCTGTTAGTCATGAGCAGCAATGCACTGTGGCTTCTCTCCCACTCTGCCAGGCACAGGTCCAGCCAACCCCTGTATTTGGAGATAAAAGTTCTATAATACCTGGTTACCTGTTTAAATCTACAGGGTAAAAGAGATTATTAAGTTCATGCTACAGACTTTCATTTTGGCTGAAATGTTCTTGGCCACTCAGGTTTCCAATTGGCAACACCTTCAGATTAATTTCTCACTCCTTGTTAAGCATTTATGATTCCTTAGTTCTTAGTATAGAAGAATTCTTCTTCATTATATTTTTTTTTAATTTAAGCTTAAACTGATTTTCATATGCAGTTTGAAATTAATTTTTTCAAATCGTTCACCTTATATATTCAATTAAATGTACATGCATGGATATTCCCCACCCTACATTGGCATCAATATTTGCCACTTACTATATTTCATAGTTACAGCACAATAAAATGTATGCTTTACCAAACTTCTTCCACTTCCTCTTGAGGATTTACACCCAGCAAGACAAGGTGACACATAAGTGATTCCATTGCTCCCACAAACAGGGTCCCATATTTTAAGTGGGCAGTCACAATCCATGTTGCAGCCAGCCAGCAGAGTATTTTCTGCATATGAAACTTGCTCTATTCTGAAACACATTCAGAAGATGAATAAATATTTCAGTAATGAGAGACCCACAGTAACCCTCTGTAATTAAGATTCTATTCTAGCTCAAGTGTTGAATCAGGACCCAACCTGAAGTCATGCCTTTCTATAGGACACTAAATTGTATTATATTACATTAATATCATAAATTAGGTATGAATATCCCACAGCATTTTTCTCATCTAGGGCCTGTACGCTCTTGATTGTCCCTAAGGGTTTTATCTTCACCTCCATGTCCATTTTACAGACACACAGCACAGCCTGGCCTAGTGGAAGTGTTGGAGGTTGGAAATAAAGGCTCTTTAAGATCCCTTCCAACCCAAACCATTCTATGGTTCCCAACGATCAATGGCAGGCTTCAGCTCAAGAAACTGCAGATAAAATATCCTCTGATAACTTGATAGGAGTCAAATTTGAGTAAACCACTGTAAGAACAAGAAGGGGATTTTTTTCCTGTCTTATTCTGAAACTGCACTCACTCATAAATCACGTGACTGATTTGAGCAACAATTTTTATTTTCACCTGCAGTTACATGACTCCACTAATTGTATTAGCAAAAAAATTCCTATGGACATGCAATTGCATGAGTCTTGACATGGATATCTTTTTTAATACCCTTTTGTTGTTTGAAAACAGGGATAACAGACCTACTGTCTAATGCAAGCAAAAAGCCTTGAGAATTTATAACAGGGAAGTGAAATGGAGCTCCTGGCTGATTCCTGACAAGGAAAATCATCCTGGTGTCTTAAGACTGAAATCCTCCTGAGTCCCAAAAAACATACCCTTGATAGGAAACTGTTAGACCAGCAACTGGTGAAGTATCACAGACAGTCCAATAGGCAGCAAAGTAGAGAAGGTATTCCAGTAAAGATACCCAAAATGCTATGTTCGCAGCCTGATAGATATTTATCTTGAATTTCTTCATGAATAAGCCGCCAGAAAAATACCCAACGCATAGAACTGGCAAGTTGTAAACACCTATTTAAACAAGTGAAACTTCCATGTTAAAATAAAGGAGACCATCAAAGCTACTCTACTACAGGGCAGCTAGAGAAGTAGCTACTACAGCTGCTGTAAGGGAAGGTTGTGTTTGGCAAAGAGTGCCTGGGGCTGAATAATGAAACTACAATCAGAAATGGGTCTCTGCTAATTTGCTTTCACAGCCAAAACCTCTGCCAAAGTCAACAGCAGGTGAGAACTGCTTGGGGAGTGAGCTAGAGAGTAGGGCTAAAATTATCAATTGGAAAATGGCAATTGAGAGTTGCACTCTAGGTCCAACTCAAAAAAAAAAAAGAAAAAAAAAAAAAAAGATAAAAAAGAGATATGGTTTCAATCCAGCCTCTGCAGCTGACTGAGAAACTCAACAGAAAGATCCGTGCACATCTCAATTAAGTGCACATCTTAATTAAGACACATCTCAATGCACTCTAAGCATGACAGAATGGAGGAAGAGGCTTTCAGTTTTGAGATGAGATTACTGAATGTGCTCTCACACTAATTTGATGATTGATGCTTAAAAGAAGCAATTTCTGACTGAAAGAAACCTTGGAAGTGGTTTTACACAAACATCACATGGCTTGGTTTTGTATCAGTTGAATTTTCTGAGCCAATTCAAAAGATGGGAATTAGATTATAAAATTGTGCACAAAAAAATTAGACATTTAGCAGAAAATGCACTGACATTTAGAAATGCTTTGTGATGTGATATCCCTCACCTGTAGAAGCATTTAACCTTAGTATGCATATATAAATACACATGAACATATGCATATATGTGAAAATATAGATAATTTGAATAGAGATAGAACAGTAATTGCTTGAACAAAGCAAAATGCAAACTTACCAATTAAAAAGATGGCATCTGATGCAGATTTCCCAAACTGCTGTTCCAGATACTTGGGCATGAAGGATACCATGCCATCAAAGGCACTGAACTGCAACACAGTTATGCATATAAATAACATGTACACAGGGTTGTGAAACAGAGCCTTGAGGAAAGGGATGAAATCTGCAATGAAACAATGCCTTGGATTAGTGTGATGCTGTATGAAAAGAATGTGGCTGTGGGGGAAAGGGGGGACAGAAAGATCCTGGACTGGGTCAGGATAAACCTTGTGCTTTGCCAGACTCCACAGCCCAAAGATTCCTTGCTTAGCCCAGGGTCTCCTCTGCCCAAAGATACCCTCACACACACACATGCACACCAGTGCAGCTGTTCCTTATCCTACCTGAATTTTGACCCCCATGTTTTGCATCTTTCAAAATTTGCAACTCCTTTTTCTTCTATGATTTTTTCATGGTTTATAAATGGAGTTATGAACAGTGGCATTACTTGTTTCCCTAATCCTTCTCTGGTGTTTCTCAGTTCTGCAGTTGTTGTTCAGCTCTCTTCTCTCTGATAAGCATTTGTCCAAATTTTTTACACCCAAAATGCCTTCCCATTTTCTAGTTCCTTATTCCTTTGGACTTTACAGTGTTTGAGCAGTGTGATTGTGGTCTCTGCAGTTGTAAGTATGGAGCAGCACATTTATCCTAGCACACACCAGCAGCATTTACTAGGCTGATCATGCTCTTACAAATTCCTGCTATGGTTATTATTTTTCTCATGACTGATAATGATGCTGAATTATGCCCTTTCTTAATACTGAGGAGATGTGTAATACCAGCAGTAGCAGCAGCTAGTGCCCCATCTTCCCTCCCTTTTCTCTCATTTCATGCCCCCAGAGCACTCAGCAAAACCCCTGTCCTGCAGCTGGCATGCCAAGGGGGCAAATGCACTCCAGAGCTGTGCCAGCCGGGACCTGGACTCTGATTTTGGGGTTTGCTGCTGGGGCAGAAGAGCCCTGAAGAGAGCTACGAGCACAGCCATTCCCACCACCCTCTCAAAATCTGCATCAGCCAGTTTTCAGCCAAGTAAGCATCTGAGAAACTGATTTGCACAAGTCTTTCCTCTGAGTAATGCCCATTAAGTCAGGATTTGAACCATAAAAAAAAAAAGCCCCACAATTCCCCTTTGTCTAATGTTCTCTGTTAATCAATGTGCTGAGCTATTGTCAAGAAACTCTGCAGATAAATTTAAGCATCTACAAAACAATGACTGGGCCTCACTGAAAGTGGGCACCACTTAGGATGGGTGTATATCTTCCAGAGCTAGGCAAGTACCTTATTAAAGTAGATCTGTATGCAAATCTTTCAAGAATTAGTCGAATATTAGAAACACTGTAAATAAGCTGCATTATTTACAGATGCAGTGACATTTTTAATCAGAGCTTCTTAAGGAAATTTTATTGCTATTAAATTAATTTTATTTTAGGTTATTTTTAACTATCAAAAAATCAAGTTTTGACTTGAAATCCCTTAAAAAGTTGTCTGAATGTGTCCTGTGAGTGCTTGAACAGGGGTTGGACCAGGTGACTTCCACAAGTCCCTTGCAACCACAACTACTCTGTGGAATGAAAAGCTTCTCCATTCAGGATATTCAGGGACAGTGAACATTCCCACCACCACAGGCAGGGAATGACCATGAAAACAAGCTCTGAAGGGATCCTGGAGCACTTACCCTGTGGAATGAAAAGCTTCTACATTCAGGATATTCAGGATATTCCCACCACCACAGGCAGGGAATGACCATGAAAACAAGCTCTGAAGGGATCCTGGAGCACTGAGGACCACACCTGAGCTGGGAGAAAAGCATTTTATTCACGGATTCATTTAGGGCTACGTGACAGCAGAAAGAGACCCTCTGTTTATCTAAATGAAGCTGCAATATCAGCCAAGACCTAAGGAATCACTCTGGCTGAGGTGAATCTGCAGGAACCAGCTGGAAAAGCACAGAGAGGGAGCTCCTCTTGGAATTTACTTGCTGAAAATTTCTGAGGTGCTGTCAGAGGGCCCTGAGCAGGACAGGCTGCTCTGAAGATCATAGCCTTTGACATAGTTTATTCACTTACATTTCCAACCAGGAAATGTAGGAAGGATGTTTCCTTCAAATAAGGAAGGAAAAAAAAATCCTCCTACAGATACATAGATTTGAAAGAGCACGGATGTGAAAGTGCCAGGTGAATAAATGTGAGTGGAACACATTTTTGTTCAACAGCAATTAAATGTTTATGAGACACTTAAGCACCAGTCAATTCCCTTTCAGGGCTTTCAGCTGGACTCAAGAAATGCACAAGATTTCTGTTGGGGTTCTGCTTTTCTGCACAGTGAATGTGGGGTACAAGCAACACCTGCACCTCATCCCCAGCTCACTGAGTTGTAATATTCCTACCCAGCTTTCAGCCCTCTCATGGGGTGAAAAGATCTGCATACACCTGAATTGCAGGAGGGGAGAAGGAAGGATCCAGATCCCAGATCTATGAAATCAGCTTTTTTCCAATCTAAATTCCTGCACAAATCCCTTGAACTGCAGAGACATCAGAACAGAGCAGGCACTGCACGTCTTGGACCCACCTTTCATTACAAAGCACACAGAGCTCACACCTGAGGACTAAAATGAGAGGGAAATAAAATGCAATACAGCTTGCCTTTAGCAATTTCATACATGGTCTGCTTGGTTTCGTTCTTATCATTTTCCTGCAATGGTGTTGCACTTTTTTCACCTGTCTCCTCAGGTTCATTGGCTTCACCTTCCTTCACGAGGGACTGGGGCAAAAACCAGAACGGTATTGCCACGAGGAGGTTGAGCAGTGCACAGATCAAAATGCCCAGCCACCATGCTCCAACCCAGCGGGCATCAGTGGCTGTGATGGTTATCTCATCTAGGATAAAACACAAAAACAGACCTCTTGAGCTCTGCAGAAACATTCTCTGCTGTCATTCTGTGCTTTCCCAGTCATCTCTGACATAAAAGCCTTTTAATGGTTCTTAAAATGAGGCTCATGAGGGAGCACATTCTCCAGTTTTCTAATGTTGCTCATTTTCTGGCAATTTTCAGTGGCTTGTATTAAGTTAATTCTAGTCCTTTCCTGTGTTATGCCAGATGACGCAATTTTTCATCAAATAATTCGTAAGCAGAATTGATTTGTGTACCTATGAACTGAATATTATATACAGATCTTCTAAAATAAACACCAATGAACTCAGGTGGGATTAACTCGTTTCAGCAAGGAAACATCTTTTAGCTCTGAAAAACACACAAACTATAAAAAATAAGGTTTTGTATGTTCACTCATTACCTGCATCTACTGATCCAATGTCAACAAACAGCTCTGCACAGAATGAAGCCAACAACAAACCAAGGAAGGGGCCAATTACAGTTGCTGTATGCAGACATGCTAGAGTAGGAAAAGGAGAAAACGTTCTGAATTAGAACCCAGTCACAATTATCTTCTTGGAATTGTTACATGTGGCCAGGACAGCTCTACTGGAAAAGCATTGGCACTTAAAAATGGCCTCATTCCAACAAGTTTCTCTCTGGTTAAATTGCAAGTTTGGCAATTTTATTATTTTGATAAAGCAATAATTAATATTTTCTGCCTTCCTTTATTGGGCTGAAGGGCATCACAATAATCCTTTATTTTGCTTTTGTTTGTGTGTGTGTGTGTGTTTGGAGAGGGGGAATTATGACAACAGGGTGGATTAACCCAGGTAGAAAGGTGAATTCTCTGCTTTGGCAAAATCCTCCAAGTAGGAAATGCCTAAAGGCATGATGGGGGTTTCACCCATCCCTCGCACGATGTTTCCAACCATCACAAAAACCCACAGCAGGGACCCAGGCTCTTTTTCACATTCTGTGCAGAAAACAAAAAGTCAGGATGAATGGTTTAGTCCCAACTATTCGTGAAAATCTAGAGACAAAGAATTGACCAATAGCTTAAGCTTTGGTGGGTAGGCCTGTCCTATAAAAAGAAAAGATGAATAACTGGTCACAACACAGTTTTAACTTCCTTTCTCTCCTTGAACTGGGATTTCTTCATCTCATAGTCTGCTTCAGATTCCACTGCTCTCTCCCACTTTGTCCTGATGAGATTTCTCAGTGCAAATTCATTAACCAATAAAAACCAGCTTTGTTAGCAGCAGTTGCTGCCTTTCTGGGTGTCTGACCATAGATGAAGCCCAGATCTCCTGATTTAATGTCAATTTGCTGTCACCAAACACAGGTGAAGCAGTCCATGTGCAGATGTGGTCACATTCAGTCCAGCCTTCCCTTCACACAGGAAATGGACTCATACATATGAATATCATGCCTTGCTTATCCATAAACCAATGAAGAAACAATGATGATCTATGGGATCTCTGTGCCTCTTGAGTGGCTGTACATAATTTGGATGAAAATTGTTTAATAAACAATCACCTTACCCAAGTATATCCATAGGCATGAAGATCTATGTGCATACTGAGTGGTTGCATATCATTTAGATGAAAATTATTTACCTTTCTATACCTTTATTTTTGCATTTCTAAAATGGGAAAGATTTCAGAAAGTATCTGAAACCTTCAAGTGAAAGGTCAATGCCAGGTGCTGTTAGATGCACAGGGTTCACTTCCTTTTGCAAAGATGCAAAAATTAACATCTTAACTGACATGCAGCCTTGGAAAGCTTGGCAGCTGCATCCATCACTAAATGGAGACCCAGAAAACCCCAGCAGAAGGAATGGTTTGATGTCCCCACACCCAGGAATTACAGCAGTGGGATCCAGCTCCAGCACACCCTGATGGAACTCATCAAAGCTCAGCAAGGAGCTCTGGGGCTCAGGTCACCTCACTGCTACCCTCCAGCAACCACCAAAGTTTCCAGCAGTCAGAGGCCCACCCAAGAGGCAATCTGATGCATCCCAAGGTACAGAGATGAGTGTCTGTCCTGGGGTGGCTTTATGATGCTGCTGTCCCCACTGTCTGCTCTCCTGCCCCTTACAGCAAGCTCTGCAGGAGCTCTGTGGTCTCCTCTGGGAGTCTGAAGGGATGGTTCAGATGGATGCTTCCCTTTGGAGCAGCCAAAGCCCAGGAGATTAATCCCACCCTCAGCAGGAGAATCTTCTGTGTGCTCATTGAATGGTTTCCTCTGAGCCCTTTGACTTCCCAGTATTTCCTCTACACATTGCTAGTGCACATCCATGTTTCAGTCTCACAGATGAGTTTTTGCCTAGTTTAAACTATTTTCTCTAAAGGGAAGAACAAGATCTATTTTACATTGTTCTAGCTCTATTTCTCATTTATTTCCCACACAGTACAAAAAAACCCCATCCTTATGCCTCTTACCCATTGCTGAAATGTGCTTCCCACCTCCTCATATGATCATAGAATTTCAAGTTAAAAAGAGGAATAATTGTGAGAACAACCTGGTGTTATACTATCCCAAAGTGGACTGCCAGGGATGTTAATTGAACTGCCTGGATAATGTGAAAACTGCATGAAAGAAATGTTTTAGCTCTGGAGTCACAGAGGCCAGGAAATTTCCTGACCTCTAGTTTCTAGGCCTTCAAAAAGCAGTGATCAAAAGCAGAACCCTGAAGTGATTGCTAATAAAAAAAAAATCCATTTATTTAGACACTATAGACACAGAAAAAAGACATTAACAGACATAGTAAAAGTCATACCTGCTGATGGTTCCTCTGTAGGCAAAGAGGACAAATTTCCCACACAGTACAAAAAAACCCCATCCTTATGCCTCTTACCCATTGCTGAAATGTGCTTCCCACCTCCTCATATGATCATAGAATTTCAAGTTAAAAAGAGGAATAATTGTGAGAACAACCTGGTGTTATACTATCCCAAAGTGGACTGCCAGGGATGTTAATTGAACTGCCTGGATAATGTCAAAACTGCATGAAAGAAATGTTTTAGCTCTGGAGTCACAGAGGCCAGGAAATTTCCTGACCTCTAGTTTGTAGGCCTTCAAAAAGCACTGATCAAAAGCAGAACCCTGAAGTGGTTGCTAATAAAAACAAAAATCCGTTTATTTAGACACTATAGACACAGAAAAAAGACATTAACAGACATAGTAAAAGTCATACCTGCTGATGGTTCCTCTGTAGGCAAAGAGGACAAATTTTGATTAACAAGGCATAGAGGCATCACTGAAACGTTTTCCCATTGTGAAATGCTGCTTTCAATGTGATATCTGTTGGAAAAAAAGGAACATTTGTCTGTGCTGGAGTAATGGAGCTACCTATCAGAGTGTGCAGCTGGAGGAAGAAGGGAATCCATGGCAAAAGTCAACAGAGAGTGCTGCCAAGGCTGCCAGAGCCATTCCACACTGGACACAACAGGACTGAAGGATCAAAAAATTCCTTGCTATTAAAGCCTACACAAGCTTACATTATTATTTTTTAAGCCAAACAAAAAGTAATTTCAAAGGAGTTGAAGGATCGTTATGGTCAGTACAAAATGGTCAGTATTAAATTTGCTTTTAGCTATTCTTTTAGTCAGAACAGGTAAATGACATCTCTGCACTGTTGACATAAGAAATCAATCTGGCACTGAAAATAGCTTGAGAAACATCTATTTCTTATCCTCTGGGAGGTCCCTTTCTCTGAATAAATTCCTGGGAGTGTGGAGAAGACAGAGTCCCAATTTTCACTCTGCATTGTTCGGGTTAAAAAATATTTACATAACACTGTCATTTTGTTGTGCCAGTTTGTGGTGATTGATAATACCCAATTTCATTCTTGCCAGCACAGTGCCCAGATGTGATCTCTCATCCAGGTTCCAGATCGTTAAAAATCACCATTTCTATTGTCCATCCAAGCAGATAAGAGCTAAAAGTGACAGTGTCACAGCTGTTACTCGGGAGAGCCCATGCAAGGTGGGAGCAAAATGATGCAAAAAACCCCCAAAAAAACCAAAAGGGGAGCAAAGGCAGGTGCCCAGCAGAGGGGTGACTCTCCTCAGGAGGTGGTGACTGACTTCTGGAGCCACCTCAGGAGCAAAGCCAAAGAAACTGCAGTGATCATACTGCAGCCATGCTCTGCAATGTCCCTCCCCATCAGCAGCACCCTCAGTGCAGGGATGAAAGGGTTAATGCCAGCCAGGATCACAGAAGCTGCTGCCAGTGAAGCAAAGCACTCACCTCCCAAAGAGAAAATGAGGAAGTGATATCAAAAGGCATCCAAAGGACAGAACTGTGCAGCCCAAAGCAATTATTCTGGGTCTGTGAAGCTTTGCTCCAAAGTAACTCACAAATGCTATCAGCAGCAAGTTACCTGCAAAGAGAACCTGGGTCACCACCTGCAAACCAAGGCATCCCATAATCCTTGCAAACCTGAGCATGTCTTGTGAGCTCAGCTTCTGTTTCTGGTTTTTTTTTGTCTTTAAATTGTCACTAGACAGGGAACTGCCTACGTGGTGCAGCTGTTCCCTGCTGTGCATGGTCTTTTTTTGGAAGAGTTACATCGCGTGAAAAGGACATGAGGATAAAAGGCAGGATGGAAAAGAGATCACAGTGAGAGAGATTTTTGAGTGCACCTTTGGAGAGGAGAAATTTCCCACTACTTGGCATAGAGATCAGGCCCAGGGACTGCAGAATAATATAGTAATACTGTTAGGAATATTTTCCTTTATTTATGCTTTATTTGGTAATGTGTAGGGAAATACAGAAGTGTATATCCTAGTGTTTTTGTAGTGGAAATAATAAACACAAGAGGACCATCATACAAAAAAAAAGGAATAATAATTTAATATTAATTTTATTCATTGCTTAATAATATAAAACCACAGGTTTTTATACCTAATACCATTTAAAAACAAAAAGGTACTAAAAATCTTCATTTTCCTCTCCTCCACTTTCACTTAGAAGCAGTTGATTTTCTCCATTTATTGCTATGCAGCTAAGAAAAGAATCAAGCTTCATGTTATGAATCAGGCCCCATAAAAATAGCAATTTAATAATTTTACACCTACTAATTTTAGGATCTTTTTGTCAGAAGAACAAAATCATGTCTCTGAGTGATGAGCGTCATGCTCTGAAAGAAAATAATGCCTTTTTTATGTATAATTTCTAAACAGCCCCTGTGCTGAATCAGGGGCTTGAATAACACTTAAAGATGTACATTTAAGTTTCTCATTGGACAATAAAACTCACTGGCAGGCAAGGTAAGGGGCACTACAAGTAGAACTGGAAATTTTCTTTGCAAGGACAATTGCACAGGTATGAAACCTTAAAATATTATTGAGTTCAGGTAAGGATTCACAGTCCACTCCAAGCAAGTTTAATTAAAGGAACTGCAAAATGCTAAATATGACCTTAAATTCAAACAAAGTTTACATAGCTGGGTTTGTTTTGTTTTCTTCAGAAAGATTCTATACACATCTCATAAACCAGATCTATTTTGTTACTTGCTCTGTCGTATCTTATGATAGTGCAGAAATTAGCTGAACCAGTTTTTAAATCCAAATTTGCCCATTCAAGTGGTCCCATTCATTTCCAAGACATTTCCATGGTTACATATCAGCTCAAAAGAATGACAGAGTTGGCCACTGTTGTCACACAGAGCAATTGAGAGCAGGTGAGAGTCACTAACACATGCTCAGACCACATATTACATTTTCAAAGAATCAGAAGTGTCAAAAAGAGAGATTACCAATTTCAAAGCTTCCATTAATGATGCCCACTAAAGAAGCTGGGATATTGAATTGTTTCTCTATCTGAGTGTACATGCTGTTCATGTAAGCACCAGACATCGTTTTCCCAAGGAAGGCAAGTGACAGTGCCAGCAGAAATACCTAGGAAGGGAAGGGAAGAATGCATGAACCATTCAAAATTACATATTTATGAATATTCCTCGGTTATTTCCTCCAGTTAAAAAGGTGAGCAGTTTCATCTATTCTTTTCTAGAGTTATGGCTTCACTAAACAAACAATAAAAATAAATTTTAAAAACCGCACAAATAAAACACACACACACACACAAAATCAAACAAAAAAACCACCAAAATCAAACAAACTTTGTTCTTCATCTTCTCTAATTGACCAAGACTGCCTTCAGAAAACCCAAGTCCCCTTTACCCAGCCAAGGCAGCAGTGCCTGCTGCAAGGTTGCCACCTGCAGGACCTTGACCCCTGCTCACCCCAAGGACAAACTGCATGCAGAACTGAGATCCTTTCCTTTGGCAGGATTACTCCATCCAGGATCTGCTCTTCCATCTCAGCAGAGACCACAGAACAAGTAATTTCAACCAAAAGGAGTAAATATCATGTCCTTTTTACTAGGCAATTATAGCAACTGACAGCTACAAAGTTAATGAGTGCAGCAGTATTCAAATCCTTTTAACTTCAGACTTCTTTATAAACAGCATTTATGAAATGAAATCAATATTATTTTTAAATACATCTGCTGCAAAAGCTAAAAAGGAAAAGATATGCATTTGGGTTTTTAATTACTATTTTTTAAAAAGATTTTCTAGCATTTCTTGACAACTTGAATTACTATCCAAGATCAACAGCCAGTTTTTACTGCCACATCCCCATCAGTAAAGCTCATTTCACAGCTTTAAGGAAGGGTAAATGTGTTAGGCTGAGGGGATTACACAAAGTCAGTGGTGGAGTTTCAGAGCAGCAATCAATCAATCACCTCCAACACATCACAGAGTGGAAAGTTCAGGCGGAACAAAAACCAGCACAGCTGTTTACAAACTTTTGTAAGGGCATTAAGGGTAAAAAAGACCAGCTTATCCATTCATTTAACCTAGGCTGTAACTTCTACCAAAATACTGTAAATGCAAGTAATTACAGATGTGTGTTCCTCCAAAATTGCTAAAATATTGCAGTACCTTCAGCTTGGAAATGCAGCAGAATTTGTCCTCTGCACGTGGCTTCTCAGGCTCCTTCATGTTGCCTTTTTTAATTGACACTGGTGTCTCTTTCTGAGTCTGTCAGCCATCCCATTACAGTGTTGAAAAAAGATGAGAGAAAAGAACAAAAGGTTTTGTCCCATGTTTGTAAAAATATGATATTCCTTCTAAGAGATTCGACGTTTTTGCATTTTCCTTCAATAATTGCAAACTGGATTGCAACAAAACCTACCAGCTGATGGATTTTATTCTAAATGAAGTAACTTGGTTAGAGAAGAGACATGAATCTCTTGGCATTAAAATTACAGGAAAACAAAATAAAACCAAAACCACCAAACTCAAGCCCTAAATGGACACAGAACTGACTCCATTCTCCTTCCCCTCCCAAGATTTTCGGTATATTCCTCTTTATTCATCTGCCTACTTTTGCTTATCTCCATCTCAGCCTGATGATTAGAGTGTCTCACAGTGCTAAGCTACCTGCCTTGTTGAAATTTTATATTCCAAAAATGTGTTCAAAGAAAGAGCAGAATATTCCAGGGACTTGGCTATACTGTAAAACCCCACACATCTGAAGGTATGCACAGTGAATCAGGTTTTTATTCCATTCATTCCAAGGGCTCCCACAGAGACTCCATGAAACAAAGTTATGCAATGCATTTCCCTGGGACCTGATGGGGTAAGCTGCAGAAAACCAGGGCAAGCCAGAGCCCTACCTGATAGGCAGGATGGACACAGGTGAATTTCCTCTTTTTTTGTCTGGGGAACACTTCCCAAGGGATCCTGCAGCACCTCTCTGCTCTGTGCTTTCCACCTCATGGGTCCAGGAATGGGGAGCAGCTTGACCAGCCCAGCAAGGACTCAGCTGCCTTTCAAATTCTTCACCTCTGCACCCTCCTGGCCAGGCTCTCCAAACATTAATTTCTACAACAATGTTAATCCTCTCAAATGTGTTTCCTAACTGACTCGATTCCTAGCAAGTCCACAGGCATTAACTCCTTCTCTAGCTACCTTCTCACTTGCAGTTTTTAAAAGCATAATGCATCATTACAGCATTCCTGGAAATACTTTACAATTAACTGCAGGTGGTCAGCACTCAGACAATTATCTGTGATAGATACAGAGATTTTTATCTCTGCTTTGCTCACAGATACTTCTACAAACTGTGTTCAATCACAGTGCTAGTACAGTTTTTTGGGGTTTTTTTCAATTTTAAATAAAATTTATACCCCAGGGAATCATTTATGCCTTATCTAAATACTGCTTTTCTCTAAAGCCCACCAGCAATACCAAAATATGACACCAGTGCCCTATATCTGTCTTCTTCTAGGAGCTGCCAAAGGGATTCTTTCCCTTTCTGTACCAGTCCCTGAACTTCACTGTCACACACAGGGAACATCACCTGGCTAATTGCAGGTTTTCTCTCCTGGTGCTACAAGATACCAGACAGAACCTGTTACCTGACTTGGGGAATCAGACACATCACACTGCTGCTGTGCAATTACAGCAGTCAAAACAGCATTGTTTGCCTTTAATTATTCACACCTTCCCTCAGAGCATCAATTATGATCCAGGGAGAAGAGCATTTCAACCAACTTTTTACTGGGAAGATTATTAAGAGTATTAACTGAATAACAAAGTAGACAGAATCATTATTCCCAGCTCTGTTTCTGAAATTGCTTTCCCCAGCTTTATAATATTTTGTGGTCACACTTCATCAAATGTTACTGACACCAACACAGGCTAAATTACCAGAAAGACACAGGTGCATAACTCACTCAGCTCAGGTGCACTCACACCACTCTTTAAGTCCAGGTTAGAATTTAAATTACCATTTCTGTGCCTCAAGATGAACCAAGTGTGCTCCCACTCCCTTCTCCCATCTACCTGCTCTCCACTGTACATTCCTCTTGTCTTCCTTGTTTACACTCTTGTGCTCTTCAGACTCATCTGCAAACCTATTTAGCTCATTAAACTGGCCAAAATATAGCTCTATTAAAACACAGTTATGTTAGAATGGGTATGCAAAAGTTTGCCCTCGGGTTCTGACTGACCCAGCAGCTGTCATGTGAATCCCACTCAAAAACCTGCAATGCTCACTGGAATTTCAGGGAACAGGGCAGTAAAATTCCTCCCTCCACTCCTGCACTGAGCTGTTGGCATATTTCTGGCAGGCTGGGAAGCTGGCAGTGCCCCAGAGCTGTCTCTCCCAGTCATCTCCACCCTCTGAGTAAATCTCCAGGGGCAGACAGAAGGACAGACAGGTGACAGAAGACAGCACTGTGCACATGCACAGAGATTTCTCACAGTGGGGGCAGCTCGAAGCAGCTGGAGGACACACAGCACCCAGGGAAACCTGGGCTGGACAAGGCTGGCTTAAAACCAAAGCTGATCCTTCCTGTGTGGACTAAAACAGGCTGGTTTGGTGCAGCTGACAGCAGCAGGCAGGCAAGCACTGAGACATCCCTTTGGACCCACTTGTGCCACAAACCCATCACATTAAATCACATTTCACTGATGCCTCAGGTTGTAGCTTTTCTATTTTTCACATTCTGAGCTGCTTCAGTGCGCAGTTCTGAGCTTCACATGAGGGGATGGTGAGCTCTGTGCACAGAGCAGGGAGACAAAACAATTTCTGCTCCAGCTGGGCACCAAGGACAAATGATCCAAATCTCAGCCCAGGAGCACAAACCCCGTGGGCTGCAGAGAGAAAAACAAGCAGGATGGGAGTGCAGGGGCTGAGCTGGAATTGGACACTGAACTGCAATGGGCACATGGAGCAGAGCTGATCCCAGGGAGAGACCCCGGGAGCGCTCGTGCATTTTGGGACCATTTGGGTTCATCTTGGGGGCAGCCCTGGCTGGGCTCTGGTGCTGCCCAAGGTGCATCCATGGAGGAGATCCTTTGAATCAATCCCTGCTTTATTCTGGAACTCTGCCCAGCCTCTGCTCCAGGGCAGCCTTCCCAAGGCATCATCACTCTAGCTAGCTAATAAAAAGGAAAAAAGCACCCAAATATCTGTATTTAAAGTTGATGATGCAATGTTTTGCAAGCTGCCTTGCCTAAGTCCCAAGAGGATATGCTACTTTCAAAGTACAATTCATCTTCCATTTAGCTCAGCTTAGTCATACAGACAAACTGCCACATCTTTATTTTGTTTACAGGGTTAAAAATCACAAAACATAACGATTCAGAAAGCAATTATGGTGGCAGAATTTTTAACTAATTTATTTTTCTGGTTGCAAAAAGCTTTTTGAAATCTTGTTTTACTAGGTACAGTTCAAACTGTTACTCAAATGCAATTACACTGATGTTAGACTGAGACAACGGAAAATGTCCTCATGGTAAAACAATTAGGTACTTACAGTTTTGAAAAGGTTTCTGCAAGAAATCACTGATATGGGACACTTGAACTTTGACTTTAAATCTACATTGTTGAAAATTAACCAAGTATGGGGCAATTTGTGTATTTGCCAAATTGTTTCAGCTGTGCATTTTGGAGTGCTCAGATGTGACAGACATGGACTGAATTCTCAGAAGGAAAATTAAGTCCATCTCTTTCTCTTCCCTGAAAAAAAAAAAAAAAAGGAAAATAAAAGGCCAAGGGCTACATCTGTGTCAGATTTCTGAGGTGCTGACACTCCTGTCCACTGAAGACATCCAGAGAGCACCCACAAGCAAGAGAGGAACTTTAGGAGTCACCTAAGTGTGTAAATGTACAGGTTGGGTGGATTTTAGGAAAGGGTGGCACAGGGTCAGAAGAGGGGAATGAGATTAGGTTACTGATTACTGGACGTTGCAAAATCAGAGAGCAAATTGACCAAGCACAAATAGTTCTGGTTAACTCGACAAGAAGAGATCATTTGACTTCAGTTATGTCCATGAGACATCTCATCTAAGGATCAGTAGATACACCTTCACACCCTCAGTGAAAAATGCAGAGTACAATTCCTTATTGGTCCTAAACTCAACGGTATATGTCATTCTTACAAGGACAACACAGAATTTGCTTCTCAGGGTTGTGTCCTGACCCCAAAATTTCACTGCAAACTTCAACCTTTGATCAGACCAGCAGGTCTGAGCATAGGAGCCTCACAGCAAAGACTCTCCCTCAACATTTTCACTCCTTTCACCCGCTCACAGGGGTCCCAGCATCTGCATAAATAGAAAAAAAAAACCTGCTCAAGATATTTTGGGAGCCTACTTTCTCAAAACAAATAGAAGGAGGATGCAAAATAAGGAAAGATGAAGTAATTTAACTGATTCTCCATCAATCAAAAATGCATTTATATCAGCAGAGTTTATACCAAACTAATCAAAGGTCTCATTGTAGTGACTAGTGGAGAGACTCAGAGGTAAGAACTGGATCTATCAAACCAGGTAGAAAAGCATTTAATAAAAGAAGTAGTGTGATGTTTACCCCTGTATAAGCAGAAACACAGGCAGGCACAAAACTCCCTGCCCAGTTTGAGCCTGAATTCAGATTTACTTTGACCATCCAGTAAGAGTTCCTTCCCTTTCACCTCAATGGAACTCATGTCAGCTGCAGGCTAAATAACAATTCAGATCTGTCTTCTGTCCTCAGCTCTGCCATCCACTCTACTCATCCCTTTCAACTCATCATAGCCTCAATTTTTTCCCATGTAACACAATAAAAATAATAAAAACAAAATAAAAATAAAAACAATAAACAGACTTTTCTAAAAAGCATTCAGACCCACACCTTGGAGATAATACTGCATAGGTGCAAAACATTATTGCTGTCTGGCTTCATAACCAGTTATTTGTTTAAACCAGTGATACTGTCATAACAATTTCTGCCTTAAGAAAGCAGTTTAGCACATTGATTTGACACTTGTGTGGGTTTGGGGGCTTTGCTTTTGTTTTGGCAAAGCATATTCCTGCCTTCTAGCCTTGCAGCAAAATTAATGAGGACATAAAATTCATTATTCTTCATAAAATTTGCTGCAAGTGTGGAAGATATTCTGTTGTACAAACCTCTGGTTTTAAGTGTTAGGGAACATAAATATTTCAATTGTCCAAACAGCTTTTCAGAACGTTGAACACCTAATTATACACTTTTGGGCAGTAGTTCCTAGCTGAAGTACAAAGGGATTTGTTGTGTGGTCAGGTCATCAGCTGAGAGGCAAATTGTCTCGGGAACACACTCCAAAGGAACAAACTGCAGGCTGACTGGCAGTTCAAAGCTTCAGAGTCTCCCTGGAGCCTTTTCCTCTGGAAAAATGACATTACCTGTGATTCATCCATCAGGGGTTTATGTAACCTGATGGCATTTCACTTCACTACCCGTCAATCCACGAGGATCTCGGGGTGTGACAATGTGCTCTGTGTGCAGAGATGCCATCAGGCTGGGGGTTAAAGGTGACACCCCTGGCTCAGCTCAGTCCTAAAAGCTGTGACACCTCTGAGGGGAAGATGCAGGATCTTTTGGGAATCAGGCACCTGTGAGCAGGGCTTTTCTACAAACACCTCATTTTTGAAGCATGGGAAATTTTCCTAGGATGCCCTGAAATAGATCCTCTTCCTCAGAAAGGTTAAAGTTGCATGAAACACAAAAATCCTCTTTTGGCAGTGAAAATTAAAGTGCTGGCTTCAAATTACAGTGTAGCTTTAAGAGTTTCTGATAAAAAATACCTCACCTCTATGGTAATAATTTCTACAGTGGCTTTTTTAGCTTCTACAAATTGTTATGAGTGTTATAAAAGGCAGCAAGATGATGTATGACTTAAAGCAGTGGGCTGCAGTGATCCACAGCACCATGAAGATTATGCTGCTTATGACAACATCCTAAAAATGGTTTAAAAATGTGTTAACCCCTTGTTTACATGAAGTATGAAATGTACTGTTGACTTGAAATTATATATGACATTACTCATTTATATATATATTATTTTTATATATATTTTATATATGTTATTGCTTATTTTTAAACACAACATCCTAAACATGAACACAATTCCAATAAGCATGTGGGCATGTGATAGCTCTCTAAAATGAAAAGAGCAATTTGCAGCCCATGGGAACTCTGTGAAAATTAACAAAATCAAGCCTTCAGTCACCAGAATCATGGTCACTAGCCAGAGTGGAAATGTGTAAGAATCCTGGCAAAATAAATTAATAATAATAGTAACAACAATAATAATAACAATTTTTTAAAATACTACCTCTGCAGACAGTAGTTGATGTAACAGAAAACACTCTGAAATCAAAAGCAGAACTCAAGATACCCACTCTAAATGCACAGTGGGTATCCAACACCCATGGATTTTAAAGCCACTTCTCCTGAGGTCTGTGCCTCCCTGCTGCTCTGCACAAGGCTCTTTTCTCAATCAAACCCTTTCCTAAGGTGACTTTTCCACTTTTTCCCATTGGAATGTTGCCGTTCATTGGCACAATGTGTCAATATGAAACTATTTCAATGTGTTAATGACTGAAAGGCTCCAGAGCCTCATTTTTCCCCCCCTCACAACAACGCCATGCTTTCCATTTTCCACTGGGTGTTTGGCTCAATAACCATTTCTTGCAAAAAACCACCACCTTTTGGACTAGCCATGTCACCTGTAGCTCCTCAATTATTTGTGAGAGCTCACATGTAAGTACTGACTTTTCCACACCATTCCTGAATTCTGTTATCGAGGATGAGCTGGGCCAAACATGGATTTGCTGCTAAATGGAAGGAAACAGCAATATTTGGTGTAAAAGCCACGCCCAAAACAGACCAAAAACCCACTACATGTTTTCAGATGCATACACTAAACTTCTAATGAATTTTTGACGACTTCTTACAGCAGCAAGACAGTTCCATGTAGCTCTCCATGTTCCTTGTGCTCATCAAAGGCTTTTCTCATCCCCAAGCAGAATGAAAAGGTCAGGTCTTGCACTCACACACAGTGATTCAAGCCTGCTGTAAATCCAGCCCTTCTTCAAGAAGGGCTATCTTATTTTGCAGCTACGTGTGATGCCATGCCATAAATAAGTTAATTAATGCTTCATGGTATTGGCAACGTAAATTCTCCTACGTCAGCTCACAGACTGCATCTAGCCTTGGTGAAAAATTATTAAAAACATGACTGATTCTCAGCTCAGCACAAGCCTCCTTTTGAAACAGCGGGGGAAATGCCACTATTAATAGCAGAGCTGTCAAGACAGCATCATCTAAAAGACTCAGAGTGTTTCAAGACAAAGCCAGGCTGTCATTCTCTTGCAGCAGTTTGCAGAGAAGGGGGAAAAAAAAAAAAGTGGGATAGTTTAAAAGTGGGATAGTTTAAAAGGGAACTTCGTTAAAACTTAGGCACTGCCTCAGGTATGGAGGGCTGACATGAATCTGTGTGGAATTCTTTTGGAAACCAGCAGTTTCTCTAAGAGGTGACTGATTTCGTTTGCTTTGCACTTCCCAGTGATTCACCTGCACTGGAAGAAGTCTGGGGAGCACAGAGGGTGGTTCCTGCTCCCACTGCACCTTCTGCAGATGTCTGTGCTCTTTATCAAAGATGCTGGGGTGGGGAGGAAGGGGTGGAGAGTTCTCACAGTTAAAATCAGAAGCAGCACTTCCACACATGCCTAATTCCTCTCTTTTTCCCCCTAGCAGGAGCATTTAGGGAGACTTCTTTCTGGCATTTAATAGCTATGGGGTGGCCTAATTGAGACCTTCCAGGACCTCAAAGGAACCCACAGAAATATGGAGAGAGATTATTCACAAAAGTATGGAATGCCAGGACATGGGGGAATGGCTTCACACTGACACAGAGTAGGGTTAGGTGGGATATTAGGGAGAAATTGTTCCCTGGGAGAGTGGAAGATGCCCTGGCACAGGGTGCCCAAAGAAGTTATGGATGCTCCATCCCAGGAAGTGTCCAAGGCCAGGTTGGATGGGGCTCTGAGCAGCATGGGATAGTGGAAGATGTTCTTGCCCAGAGAAGTTATGGATGCTCCATCCCTGGAAGTGTCCCAGGCCTGGTTGGATGGGGCTCTGAGCAGCCTGGGATAGTGGAAGATGTTCCTGCCCATAACAGGGGGTTGGAATTGGATGATTTTTAATGTCTCTACCAAACCAGGCCATTCTATGATTCTATAATTCAATATATTCACCCTGCCCTTCCTTTCAGCAAGGCTTTTTGTTCTGCTTTGAAGTACACGTGAATACAACACGTGAGAGAACTCCCTGTACTATTGCAGAAGTGGCAGGTACACATTCCAGCAAGATCTTGGAAACATGAACACCTCTTTATAAATAAATTGCTACAGAAAGTGACCGAGGAGAATTAGCACAGCAGGAAGAAATGGATGACTCAGTTTACCAGAAAGGAAGAACAGTATTTCTATTCCATATTCATATTTAGAGCCCTTGAGAGTGGCATTGGTAACCAAAAGGGAGTCCTGCTTTTGCTTGTAA